GTGGTAGACTGTTAGAGCAGTGGTAGGCTGTTAGAGCAGTGGTAGACTGTTTGAACAGTGGTAGAATGTTAGAGCAGTGGTAGAATGTTTGAGCAGTGGTAGAATGTTAGAGCAGTGGTAGAATGTTAGAGCAGTGGTAGAATGTTAGAGCAGTGGTAGAATGTTAGAGCAGTGGTAGAGAGTTGTTAGAGCAGTGGTAGAATGTTAGAGCAATTGTAGAATGTCAGAGCAGTGATAGAATGTTAGAGCAGTGGTAGAATGTCAGAGCAGTGGTAGAATGTCAGAGCAGTGGTAGAGAGTTGTTAGAGCAGTGGTAGAATGTCAGAGCAGTGGTAGAATGTTTGAGCAGTGGTAGAATGTTTGAGCAGTGGTAGAATGTTTGAGCAGTGGTAGAATGTCAGAGCAGTGGTAGAATGTCAGAGCAGTGGTAGAATGTTTGAGCAGTGGTAGAATGTTTGAGCAGTGGTAGAATGTTAGAGCAGTGGTAGAATGTTAGAGCAGTGGTAGAATGTTAGAGCAGTGGTAGAATGTCAGAGCAGTGGTAGAATGTCAGAGCAGTGGTAGAATGTCAGAGCAGTGGTAGAATGTCAGAGCAGAGGTAGAATGTCAGAGCAGTGGTAGAATGTTAGAGCAGTGGTAGAATGTTAGAGCAGTGGTAGAATGTTTGAGCAGTGGTAGAGAGTTGTTAGAACAGTGGTAGAATGTCAGAGCAGTGGTAGAATGTTAGAGCAGTGGTAGAGAGTTGTTAGAACAGTGGTAGAATGTCAGAGCAGTGGTAGAATGTTAGAGCTGTGGTAGAATGTTAGAGCAGTGGTAGAATGTCAGAACAGTGGTAGAATGTCAGAGCAGTGGTAGAATGTCAGAGCAGTGGTAGAATGTCAGCACAGTGGTAGAATGTTAGAGCAGTGGTAGAATGTCAGAGCAGTGGTAGAATGTCAGAGTAGTGGTAGAATGTCAGAGCAGTGGTAGAATGTCAGAGCAGTGGTAGAATGTCAGAGCAGTGGTAGAATGTTAGAGCAGTGGTAGAATGTCAGAGCAGTGGTAGAATGTCAGAGCAGTGGTAGAAGTCAGAGACAGTGAGAATGTTAGAGCAGTGGTAGAATGTCAGAGCAGTTGGTAGAATGTCAGAGACAGTGGTAGACTGTTAGAGCAGTGTCGACTGTTCGAGCAGCGGTAGAATGTTAGAGCTTGTGGTAGAAATGTAGAGCAGTGGTAGACTGTTAGAGCAGTGGTAGAATGTTAGAGCAGTGGTAGAATGTTAGAGCAGAATGTTAGAGCTCGGGTGGTAGAATGTTGGGTCAGTGGTAGAATGTTAGAGCAGTGGTAGACTGTTAGAGCAGAATGTTAGAGTGTGGTAGACTGTTAGAGCAGTGGTAGAATGTTAGAGCATTGGTAGACTGGTTAGGGCAGTGGTAGAATTTAGAGCAGTGGTAGAATGTTAGAGCAGTGGTAGACTGTTTAGAGCAGTGGTAGATTGTTTGAGAGCAGTGGTAGAAGTTAGAGCAGTGGTAGACTGTTAGGGCAGTGGTATAATGTGTTTGAGCAGTGTAGTGGAATGTTAGGGCAGTGGTAGAAATGTTTGAGCAGTGGAGAATGTTAGAGCAGTGGTAGAATGTTTGAGCAGTGGTAGAATGTTAGAGCAGTGGTAGAATGTTAGAGCAGTGGTAGAGCGTGTTTGAGCAGTGGTAGAATGTTTGAGCAGTGGTAGAATGTTTGAGCAGTGGTAGACTGTTTGAGCAGTGGTAGAAGGTTTGAGCATTGGTAGACTGTTAGAGCAGTGGTAGACTTGAGCAGTGGTAGAATGCTAGAGCAGTGGTAGAATGTTTGAGCAGTGTAATAGAATGTTTGAGCAGTGGTAGAATTGTCAGAGCAGTGGTAGAATGTTTGGGCAGTGGTAGTAGACTGTTAGAGCAGTGGTAGGCTGTTAGAGCAGTGGTAGACTGTTTGAACAGTGGTTTGTAGAATGTTAGAGCAGTGGTAGTGGTAGAATGTTTGAGCAGTGGTAGAATGTTTAGAGCAGTGGTAGAATGTTAGAGCAGTGGTGGTAGAATGTTAGAGCAGTGGTAGAATGTTTTAGAGCAGTGGTAGAGAGTTGTTAGAGCAGTGGTAGAATGTTTAGAGCAATTGTAGAATGTCAGAGCAGTGATAGAATGTTAGAGCAGTGGTAGAATGTCAGAGCAGTGGTAGAATGTCAGAGCAGTGGTAGAGAGTTGTTAGAGCAGTGGTAGAATGTCAGAGCAGTGGTAGAATGTTTGAGCAGTGGTTAGAATGTTTGATCAGTGGTAGAATGTTTGAGCAGTGGTAGAATGTCAGAGCAGTGGTAGAATGTCAGAGCAGTGGTAGAATGTTTGAGCAGTGGTAGAAGTTTTGAGCAGTGGTAGAATGTTAGAGCAGTGGTAGAATGTTAGAGCAGTGGTAGAATGTTAGAGCAGTGGTAGAATGTCAGAGCAGTGGTAGAATGTCAGAGCAGTGGTAGAATGTCAGAGCAGTGGTAGAATGTCAGAGCAGAGGTAGAATGTCAGAGCAGTGGTAGAATGTTAGAGCAGTGGTAGAATGTTAGAGCAGTGGTAGAATGTTTGAGCAGTGGTAGAGAGTTGTTAGAACAGTGGTAGAATGTCAGAGCAGTGGTAGAATGTTAGAGCAGTGGTAGAGAGTGTTAGAACAGTGGTAGAATGTCAGAGCAGTGGTAGAATGTTAGAGCTGTGGTAGAATGTTAGAGCAGTGGTTAGAATGTCAGAACAGTGGTAGAATGTCAGAGCAGTGGTAGAATGTCAGAGCAGTGGTAGAATGTCAGCACAGTGGTAGAATGTTAGAGCAGTGGTAGAATGTCAGAGCAGTGGTAGAATGTCAGAGTAGTGGTAGAATGTCAGAGCAGTGGTAGAATGTCAGAGCAGTGGTAGAATGTCAGAGCAGTGGTAGAATGTTAGAGCAGTGGTAGAATGTCAGAGCAGTGCTGTGACTCCAGGCCCGCAGCTGCGACTCCAGATCCCTCCCAGCACCTCTTCAAGTACTAGTGGAGCTCGTCCTCCAGCTCGCAGATGAGAGAGTGTCACCTGTGTGGTGGCCAGAGCTTGGTGCAAGATACGTGGGAAGCGGCCAAGGTGCCTCACCGCTCAACGACACCCGGGGCCACCATCCGCAGGTTAATGTTTCTTGTCACAGATCTCCGGCTTAACCTGAAGTACTCAGCGGCTGTTTCCTCTTCTGAGGACTGGAAGAACAAGCGTCTTGGCTTGTCGTTTGGTGTTGGCCAGCCTGTGTGGTGTGGGCCAGCCTGTGTGGTGGGGGCCAGCCTGTGTGGTGGGGGCCAGGTTGTGTGGTGGGGGCCAGCCTGTGTGGTGGGGACCAACCTGTGTGGTGGGGGCCAGCCTGTGTGGTGGGGTAGTGTGGTTGGGGGCCAGCCTGTGTGGTGGGGTAGTGTGGTTGGGGCCAGCCTGTGTGGTGGGGGTAGTGTGGTTGGGGCCAGCCTGTGTGGTGGGGGTAGTGTGGTGGGGGCCAGCCTGTGTGGTGGGGGTAGTGTGGTGGGGGCCAGCCTGTGTGGTGGGGGCCAGGCTGTGTGGTGGGGGCCAGCCTGTGTGGTGGGGGACAGCCTGTGTGGTGGGGGCCAGCCTGTGTGGTGGGGACCAGCCTGTGTGGTGGGGGCCAGCCTGTGTGGTGGGGGTAGTGTGGTGGGGTAGTGTGGTGGGGGTAGTGTGGTGGGGGCCAGCCTGTGTGGTGGGGGCCAGCCTGTGTGGTGGGGGCCAGCCTGTGTGGTGGGGACCAGCCTGTGTGGTGGGGGCCAGCCTGTGTGGTGGGGGCCAGCCTGTGTGGTGGGGGCCAGCCTGTGTGGTGGGGGCCAGCCTGTGTGGTGGGGGCCAGGTTGTGTGGTGGGGGCCAGCCTGTGTGGTGGGGGTAGTGTGGTGGGGCCAGCCTGTGTGGTGGGGACCAGCCTGTGTGGTGGGGGTAGTGTGGTGGGGGCCAGCCTGTGTGGTGGGAGCCAGCCTGTGTGGTGGGGGCCAGCCTGTGTGGTGGGGGCCAGCCTGTGTGGTGGGAGCCAGCCTGTGTGGTGGGAGCCAGCCTGTGTGGTGGGGGCCAGCCTGTGTGGTGGGGGCCAGCCTGTGTGGTGGGGGCCAGCCTGTGTGGTGGGGTCCAGCCTGTGTGGTGGGGGCCAGGTTGTGTGGTGGGGGCCAGCCTGTGTGGGGGGGTAGTGTGGTGGGGCCAGCCTGTGTGGTGGGGACCAGCCTGTGTGGTGGGGGTAGTGTGGTGGGGGCCAGCCTGTGTGGTGGGAGCCAGCCTGTGTGGTGGGGGCCAGCCTGTGTGGTGGGGGCCAGCCTGTGTGGTGGGAGCCAGCCTGTGTGGTGGGAGCTAGCCTGTGTGGTGGGGGCCAGCCTGTGTGGTGGGGGCCAGCCTGTGTGGTGGGGGCCAGCCTGTGTGGTGGGGGCCAGCCTGTGTGGTGGGGGCCAGCCTGTGTGGTGGGGGCCAGCCTGTGTGGTGGGGGCCAGCCTGTGTGGTGGGGGTAGTGTGGTGGGGGTAGTGTGGTGGGGGCCAGCCTGTGTGGTGGGGGTAGTGTGGTGGGGCCAGCCTGGGTGGTGGGGGCCAGCCTGTGTGGTGGGGGCCAGCCTGTGTGGTGGGGGTAGTGTGGTGGGGGTAGTGTGGTGGGGGCCAGCCTGTGTGGTGTGGGTAGTGTGGTTGGGGCCAGCCTGTGTGGTGGGGGCCAGCCTGTCTGGTGGGGGTAGTGTGGTGGGGGTAGTGTGGTGGGGGCCAGCCTGTGTGGTGGGGGTAGTGTGGTGGGGGCCAGCCTGTGTGGTGGGGGTAGTGTGGTTGGGGCCAGCCTGTGTGGTGGGGGCCAGCCTGTGTGGTGGGGGTAGTGTGGTGGGGGCCAGCCTGTGTGGTGGGGGTAGTGTGGTTGGGGCCAGCCTGTGTGGTTGGGGCCAACCTGTGTGGTGGGGGTAGTGTGGTGGGGGCCAGCCTGGGTGGTGGGGGTTGTGTGGTGGGGGCCAGGCGCGGGTCTTGCTGTCTACTGTTGTTGGTGCTTCCGTTGATCTGGTGGTCCCGTTGCCGTGGTGCTCCTGTTGCTGTGCTGCTCCCGTTCTGGTGCTCCCGTTGCCGTGGTGCTCCCGTTCTGGTGCTCCCGTTGCCGTGGTGCTCCTGTTGCTGTGCTGCTCCCGTTCTGGTGCTCCCGTTGCCGTGGTGCTCCTGTTGCTGTGCTGCTCCCGTTGCTCTGGTGCTCCCGTTGCTCTGGTGCTTCCGTTGCTCTGGTGCTCCCGTTGCTGTGATGCTCCCGTTTCTGTGGTGCTCCCGTTGCTGTGGTGCTCCCGTTGCTGTGGTGCTCCCGTTGCTGTGGTGCTCCCGTTGCTGTGGTGCTCCCGTTGTTGTGGAGCTCCCGTTGTTCTGGTGCTGCCGTTGCTGTGGTGTTCCCGTTGCTGTGGTGGTCCCGTTGCTGTGGTGCTCCCTTTGCTGTGGTGGTCCCGTTGCTGTGGTGGTCCCGTTGCTGTGGTGGTCCCGTTGCTGTGGTGGTCCCGTTGCTGTGGTGCTGCCGTTGCTGTGGTGCTGCCGTTGCTGTGGTGCTGCCGTTGCTGTGTTGCTCCCGTTGCTGTTGTGCTCCCGTTGCTGTGGTGCTGCCGTTGCTGTTGTGCTCCCGTTGCTGTTGTGCTCCCGTTGCTGTGGTGCCCCCGTTGCTGTGGTGCCCCCGTTGATGTGGTGCTGCCGTTGCTGTGTTGCTCCCGTTGCTGTTGTGGTCCCGTTGCTGTGGTGCTGCCGTTACTGTGTTGCTCCCGTTGCTGTTGTGCTCCCGTTGCTGTGGTGCCCCTGTTGCTGTGGTGCTGCCGTTGCTGTGTTGCTCCCGTTGCTGTTGTGGTCCCGTTACTGTGGTGCTGCCGTTGCTGTGGTGCTGCTGTTGCTGTGTTGCTCCCGTTGCTGTTGTGCTCCCGTTGCTGTTGTGCTCCCGTTGCTGTGGTGCTGCCGTTGCTGTGTTGCTCCCGTTGCTGTTGTGGTCCCGTTGCTGTGGTGCTGCCGTTGCTGTGGTGCTGCTGTTGCTGTGTTGCTCCCGTTGCTGTTGTGCTCCCGTTGCTGTTGTGCTCCCGTTGCTGTGGTGCTCCCGTTGCTGTGGTGCTCCCGTTGCTGTGGTGCTCCCGTTGCTGTTGTGCTCCCGTTGCTGTTGTGCTCCCGTTGCTGTGGTGGTCCCGTTGCTGTGGTGCTCCCGTTGCTGTGGTGCTCCCGTTGCTGTGGTGATCCCGTTGCTGTGGTGCTCCCGTTGCTGTGGTGGTCCCGTTGCTGTGGTGGTCCCGTTGCTGTGGTGCTACCGTTGCTGTGGTGCTCCCGTTGCTGTGGTGATCCCGTTGCTGTGGTGCTCCCGTTGCTGTGGTGCTCCCGTTGCTGTGGTGCTCCCGTTGCATTGTACATTAGACACACATCTGTTTGTGGTCACGCAGGCCGTATACTGATACTGTTGGTCCCGTTGTTTTATGAACTAAACACACGCACACATCTGTTAATTTACATCTGTTCCTTCGGCCTGTCACGGCCTGGTACTGTTCGGAGCGAACAGACCGTTAACGGTAACGGCGATGATCCCCGTTAGTGACAACGGGGACGTCAGACCAACATAGTGAGGTCTGTGTAGCCACATCTTCCCCGCCACATCTTCCCCGCCACATCTTCCCCGCCACATCTTCCCCGCCACAACATCCCCGCCACACCTTCCCCGCCACAACTTCCCCGCCACAACTTCCCCGCCACATCTTCCCCGCCACAACTTCCCCGCCACACCTTCCCCGCCACAACTTCCCCACCACAACTTCCCCGCCACATCTTCCCCGCCACATCTTCCCCGCCACAACTTCCCCGCCACAACTTCCCCGCCACAACTTCCCCGCCACATCTTCCCCGCCACATCTTCCCCGCCACAACTTCCCCGCCACATCTTCCCCGCCACAACTTCCCCGCCACAACTTCCCCGCCACAACTTCCCCGCCACATCTTCCCCGCCACAACTTCCCCGCCACATCTTCCCCGCCACAACTTCCCCGCCACAACTTCCCCGCCACAACTTCCCCGCCACCCCTTCCCCGCCACACCTTCCCCGCCACAACTTCCCCGCCACATCTTCCCCGCCACATCTTCCCCGCCACAACTTCCCCGCCACACCTTCCCCGCCACATCTTCCCCGCCACAACTTCCCCGCCACAACTTCCCCGCCACACCTTCCCCGCCACATCTTCCCCGCCACAACTTCCCCGCCACAACTTCCCCGCCACAACTTCCCCGCCACAACTTCCCCGCCACAACTTCCCCGCCACACCTTCCCCGCCACACCTTCCCCGCCACATCTTCCCCGCCACAACTTCCCCGCCACATCTTCCCCGCCACAACTTCCCCGTTACAACTTCCCCGCCACAACTTCCCCGCCACAACTTCCCCGCCACAACTTCCCCGCCACAACTTCCCCGCCACATCTTCCCCGCCACAACTTCCCCGCCACAACTTCCCCGCCACAACTTCCCCGCCACAACTTCCCCGCCACAACTTCCCCGCCACATCTTCCCCGCCACAACTCCCCCGCCACAACTCCCCCGCCACAACTTCCCCGCCACAACTTCCCCGCCACAACTTCCCCGCCACAACTTCCCCGCCACAACTTCCCCGCCACATCTTCCCCGCCACAACTCCCCCGCCACATCTTCCCCGCCACAACTTCCCCGCCACAACTTCCCCGCCACAACTTCCCCGCCACAACTTCCCCGCCACATCTTCCCCGCCACATCTTCCCCGCCACAACTTCCCCGCCACATCTTCCCCGCCACAACTTCCCCGCCACAACTTCCCCGCCACAACTTCCCCGCCACAACTTCCCCGCCACATCTTCCCCGCCACAACTTCCCCGCCACAACTTCCCCGCCACATCTTCCCCGCCACATCTTCCCCGCCACAACTTCCCCGCCACACCTTCCCCGCCACATCTTCCCCGCCACAACTTCCCCGCCACAACTTCCCCGCCACACCTTCCCCGCCACACCTTCCCCGCCACAACTTCCCCGCCACAACTTCCCCGCCACAACTTCCCCGCCACAACTTCCCCGCCACAACTTCCCCGCCACACCTTCCCCGCCACACCTTCCCCGCCACATCTTCCCCGCCACAACTTCCCCGCCACATCTTCCCCGCCACAACTTCCCCGCCACAACTTCCCCGCCACAACTTCCCCGCCACAACTTCCCCGCCACAACTTCCCCGCCACAACTTCCCCGCCACAACTTCCCCGCCACAACTTCCCCGCCACATCTTCCCCGCCACAACTTCCCCGCCACAACTTCCCCGCCACAACTTCCCCGCCACAACTTCCCCGCCACAACTTCCCCGCCACAACTTCCCCGCCACAACTTCCCCGCCACAACTTCCCCGCCACAACTTCCCCGCCACAACTTCCCCGCCACATCTTCCCCGCCACAACTTCCCGCCACAACTTCCCCGCCACAACTTCCCCGCCACAACTTCCCCGCCACAACTTCCCCGCCACAACTTCCCCGCCACATCTTCCCCGCCACAACTTCCCCGCCACAACTTTCTGGACTTTTACTTCTTTATTTTCGTCGTAATCTGTCACAAATTAAAGAGTCACTGCTTAACCACGTTGCATATTCACCCTCAGTATCTCGAATGTCGTAATCATGTCATCTCTGTTTCTTGTGTTCTCCAGGCTTGTGATATCCTGCTCCCTTAACCTATCCTCTAACTTTACTCCTAGCTCTGGCACCAATCTCCTTGTTATCATGTGTAATGTTGTCAATTGTTATCTTATGCTTGGTGGATTCTTGGCCGGTGTTGACAATTCCAATATTGGTCTTATGAAAGGTTATCTTGAGATGATTTCGGGGCTTTAGTGTCCCCGCGGCCCGGTCCTCGACCAGGCCTCCACCCCCAGGAAGCAGCCCGTGACAGCTGACTAACACCCAGGTACCTATTTACTGCTAGGTAACAGGGGCATAGGGTGAAAGAAACTCTGCCCATTGTTTCTCGCCGGCGCCCGGGATCGAACCCGGGACCACAGGATCACAAGTCCAGTGTGCTGTCCCGCTCGGCTCACTGGTCTTATAAATGGTGTGTAGAGTGATAGTCCTGATTTAGGTGGCTATTGATGTTCGCATGTTTAGCAGCGTCCCACATGCTGCTGGTGTCAGCCTGTCTGTGTGTGCCTCTGGTGATAGTGATGGAATTACATCCACTCCCAAATCTGTCTCTGATTCGCGTAATATCTTTGCCCTTATGGCTTATAGGGGCATAACTGGCCGATTCCTCACAGTGTTCAAGAGAGAACTGGATAAGCACCTCCAAAGGATACCTGATCAACCAGGCTGTGACTCATACGTCAGGCTGCGAGCAGCCGCGTCCAACAGCCTGGTTGATCAGTCCGGCAACCAGGAGGCCTGGTCGACGACCGGGCCGCGGGGACGCTAAGCCCCGGAAGCACCTCAAGGTAACCTCAAGGTAAGGTTATGGCGTAGACACCTTGTGATCTTCTCTCTTCCTTCTTCATTACTTACACTTGTTGGAGGTTGAATTTAAGCAACCATTTGTTTGCCTATAGGAGTTTGTCGAGGTCTTGTTGTAACATTCTGCAGTCATCCTCTGTTTTTACATTCTTTATTATCTTGGCCTCGTCTGCCAACATTGGCATGAGTGACCTCACTCCCTCGGGCAGGTCACTCATAAGTCAGTAACATCAGCATTTCCTAGACTGAGCCTCTGAAGCCTCTCCCCCCTCGCCCAGTTTAGTGTCCACCAAACTATGCCAGCTGCTTCTCCATCTTCTGTGCCAGGCTTGGGTGAGGAACTGTATCAAACGCTTTCTGGCAGTCGAGGAAAATACAGTCTACCCAGCCTATATCTTTTCCTGTCGTATTTTTGGAAGTTTGGGATATAATTCGACCAGGTTTGTCAGGCTCGACTTACCCCATGTTGCTCCAACCTGCCCTTTGGTAACAAAGTTTATCCTATACAAATGCTCCACTATTCTCAACCTGTTTACTCTCTTCAGTACTTTATATGGAATTGTTGTTAGTGACACTGGTCTTTAATTTAGAGCCTCCTTTCTTACCCCGTTTTTTTTTATTAAGAAAACATTTGCCTTTTTCCACAGGTCTGGGAGATTTCCTGTTTCAAATGTTTTATTAAAAACATCAATGGGTGACGAAATACCTCCGCAGAGTCCTTCAACAACCTTGGTGATATTATGTCTGGTCCTGTTCATTTTGGTACATCTAGTTCCTCCCTGTGTTATTTAATCACTGTCACAATGCGTGCTATGTCATCCAGTGTTTCCTCTGGCTTTTTATCTCACAACTCAAGTCTTCACAGTGATTCGTGGTTGATAGTAATGACCTGAAATATTTTGTGGAGTTCCTCGCCTCATTCTCTGTGAGATTTTCCTCTTGTCTCTTCAACCTGATCACATGGTTATCTTGAGATGATTTCGGGGCTTAGCGTCCCCGCGGCCCGGTCCTCGACCAGGCCTCCTTTTTGTTACACATCCCCAGGAAGCAGCCCGCAGCAGCTGTCTAACTCCCAGGTACCTATTTACTGCTAGATGAACGGGTGCAACAGGGAGAAAGAACCTCAACCCATTTGCTTCCGCCTATGCCGGGGATCGAACCCGGAACCTTAGGACTACGAATCCCGAGCGCTGTCGAACCCAGAACCTTAGCACTACGAATCCCGAGCGCTGTCGAACCCAGAACCTTAGCACTACGAATCCCGAGCGCTGTCGAACCCAGAACCTTAGCACTACGAATCCCGAGCGCTGTCCACTCAGCCGTCAGGCCCCCCTCCCTGTTTTTTTTATTATCATCTTCTGGTGGCATTAAAACAGCTTTGGTTGGTACCCAGCTTACAGCGCCGTGTTGTTCTCAAACTGCCTTTCAGCTTCTCTCCTAATTACAGTGTATTAATGTATGCTTGTATGCATCTATTATGCATGGTGCTGTTATCTTGTATGCATGGTGCTGTTACCTAGCAGTAAAATAGGTACCTGGGTGTTAGTCAGCTGTCACGGGCTGTTTCCTGGGGGTGCAGGCCTGGTCGTAGGACCAGGCCGCGGGGACACTAAAGCCCCGAAATCATCTCAAGATAACCATCTCAAGATAGATCTATGACCTCTACTCCTAGTTGACTGTATTTCCCCATGGTTAGTTGCTCTACTCTCCACTGCTTCTCTGCTCTGCCTGTTGGCCCAGAGGTTTGTTTGACTTTTCTCGTTCACCTTCTTCGGGGGGTTTTACCGCTCCGACCCGACTGCTCATATCTGGCCTGGGAGCACTATATTATGGTGGCGGGGCTCGTAACTTATGGTGTGGTTGTGAGGTGTAGTGGTAATGTGTATTGATATAGTGTTCACTTGGCCCCAGTGTAAGGTAAGGTGATATTAGCGTGAACACCTGGTATGGTGTAGGTGTGGTGCTGCAGGTATGGTGCTGGTGTAGGTGTGGTGCTGCAGGTATGGTGCTAGTGTAGGTGTGGTGCTGCAGGTATGGTGCTGGTGTAGGTGTGGTGCTGCAGGTATGGTGCTAGTGTAGGTGTGGTGCTGCAGGTATGGTGCTGGTGTAGGTGTGGTGC